ATTGATCACTGCCTCAACCGGAAAAGGTCCCAAGTAGCGGTGATCGAGCTTTTTCGATGGTCGCGTCATTGGTAAGTATCGAGTAGAGAGCCAAACCCGATTGCCTACTGTTAAAGGCGGAATATCACGATAATGTCAGTCTGCAAACCATTTATAGTCTTCCTTGGATCTTTCTAGTTGATCGTGGACCATGTGGTGCACAGCTTTTAACTCCTGCAAGAACTTATCCACTGCCAGAACTGGGGAATCAGACGGGGCTAAAGGGAAAAGTCATGGATGAAACCCATAGTTAGCAAAGAAAGGGGACACAAAGGGGACACACGGGTGGATGCATGTTGAGCATTGTTTTCAGCGAATTATGCCACCGGTAGCACTTCCACCCAATTGTCTTATTGAGTATTGCTGAAACAGCGGAGGTACTGCTCCAAAATAGCATTCACTCTCTCTGTCCCCCCATCAGTTTTGGGGTGATGAGCAGATGACAGACACGCCTGAACTTGCAGTTTTGCAAGTAGAGTCTGCCAGAAGCGTGCCATAAATTGTACCCCCTGATCTGATACCATGCAGTCTGGTAACCAGAAAACATGGGAGATAAACAATTGAGCCGTTATCTTGGCCGATGGAAGACCCGCACATGGAATAAAGTGGGCCATTTTAGTCAACATATCCACCACTACCAAAATGGTTATGGCACCTTTCGATGGTGGTAACTCAACGATGAAATCCAATGAAACTGCCCCCCACAGTTCTGGCATGGGCAAGGGCTGCAAGAGACGAGGGGGCGCACCAGGAGCATACTTGGCTTGGTGACAAATCCCACAGGACGCCACATCTCCCGACACATCATGTTTAAGTCTCGGCCACCAAAATGTCCTAGAGATGAGGTGCAGTGTTTTGAAGACCCAAAGTGTCCTGCCGCCGGACTATCATGACATTGACATAGAATAAGGCCACAAAGAGGACCTCCAGGCACGTAAATGCGATCATGGAACCGCAACAGGTCCCCCGTATACGCCCAAGGAGTCTCTTGTCTCCCATTCTCATCCAATTCTTGACGTCAAGCTGCCACAAATGGGTCCTACCACTGTGCCTCCTGAATCCTCACCTGGAGGTCCACAGGTTCCTCGGTGGCCGCAAACCGCTCCAACGGAATCACCGTCTGGGGCAAGATTTTATCCTCCCTTCGGGTATACTCGGGCTTCCGAGATAGGGCGTCGGCACGTTGATTCCCTCTACTCGGAACATAGGTCACCGGGAAATCAAATCGAGCAAAGAATAAGGACCATCTCACCTGACGCTGGTTCAATGTCCGAGCTGTACATAGGTGTTCCAAATTGCGATGATCCGTCCAAACCTCAATTTGGTGACGAGCCCCCTCCAGGTGGTGCCTCCATGTCTCAAAAGCAACCTTAACCGCCAATAGCTCCTTGCCCCAAATTGTATAGTTGCGCTCTGGAGTTGACAACTTCCGGGAATAAGTGCACGGGAACAAGGTGCCTGTGGGAGCATAGGCCTGGAGGAGTACCGCACCAACAGCCACATCTGTTTCCACCACAAATGGCTGGCCTGGATCAGGCTGGATCGAGGCATTGAAAGTCGCCTTTGCTTCCGAGCCTATAGCTCGGAAGCAAAGGCGATTTTCAATGCCTCGAAAGCTGCCTGCTCCTCAGCACCCCAATGGAACTTCTCCCCCTTCTTGAGCAGATTAAAAAGGGGAGCAGTCAAGGCAGCAAAGTGGGGAATAAATGTGCGGTAGTAGTTCGCAAACTGCAACAGTCGTTGCACATCCTTAGCCCATTGTGGAGGTTCCCACGCCTGCAATGATTGTATTTTTTCCAGGTCCATTTCCACCCCAGAAATAGGGTGTCCACTAGGGGAATGACAGGAGCCCTGATCAACTATCACAGCCATCATTTTGACAGTTTTGCTGTATTGTTGTCTGTGGACACCCCCACTAAATGCATGCATGGGATAAACTGAGCCTGGTTTGTTCTCAGTCTTTTAAGTGGCCACAAACTACTAAAAAAAGTGGTATTTGATCACAAGGCAAGGAAGCATTGAGAAATGTTTCCTTTTTTGTATTTGAGCATCCAAGAAGGGACAGGAAAGGAGAAAGGGAAAGAAAAAAGAAAAAGAAGGAAAGAGGGGAAGGAATGAAAAAGAGGGAAAAGGGGGAAGAAAAAAGAAAGGTGAGGGAAGAGGGAAGGAAAAAGAAGAAAAGGGAAAAAGGAAAGAAAGGAAAGAAGTTTCTCCCCAGCCCTGCCCAGTACATCACAGTTGTCCCCTCACATGAGTGACATCGAACTGGCCACATTCACCACGCCCACACGTACCATGCCCACGCCCACCTGGCCCTCCAAGGTCAACCACAACCCTGATGCGGCCGTCAATGAAATTGTGTGTGACACCCTTGATTAAAGGAAAATATTGGGAAATATCTCTTCTTTCATAAATACTTTGAAAATATCTTTTCAAATAATCTAACTGAATGAAAAGTTTGTATGGAAATGAAATATTTCTCATGCCATTTTGTTTCTTCTTTTTCTTATTATCATTGCACACTATAATATGTCTTTTATTTGGATAACATTAAATCAATTTTTTGCTAATGTACTGTATATACTTGAGTATAAGCCTAGGGTGGGAAATGCAGCAGCTACTGGTAAATTTCAAAAATAAAAATAGATACCAATAAAAATTTTAACTAGGACAGTTGAGAATAAGTTTGATGTTCACAATTTCCTCTTTGAAAGAGACCAGTAAATAGGGAACAAGAAGATGAAGAAAAAGAAGTGTGTTTTTTCACACTTTTCACACTGCAGTGAACAAAAATGGCATCATAGGAACAGGCTTATTCTCAGTCCAAAGGTTTGTTTCTGATTTCTTCCCTGATTTAAGGGAAATTTGGGAAACGATCTCATGATCATGAAAGGTTTAATTGATTCACTAACCCAAAAGATGATGATGAAGATGACAGTGGGAGGCAGGAGTCACTCTCTCCCTTGCGAGAAAAAAGCAAGAGCCGTTCTTATGATCTCTCTCTCTCTCTCTCTCTCTCTCCATAATACAGTCAAGCCCTTTCCAGCACGCGTGATCTGCCGCCGCCGCCGCTTTGCACCTTGCAAATGCAAAAACCCTGGGATTTTGCATTTGCAAGGTGCAAAGCGGCAGGGGCGGATCGTGCGTGCTGGAAAGGGCTTGACTGTATTCTGGAGAGAGAGAGAGATCATAAGAATGGCTCTTGCTTTTTTCTCGCAAGGGGCGGGCACTGGGGGCTTGCAAGGGAGAGAGTGACTCCTGCCTCCCACTGTCATCATCATCTTCTACTTTTGGGTTAGTAAATCAATTAATTTGGAAAATGATCTCACTATCATGAAAGTCAGTGTTCTCTGCCCATGGGGCGTTTGGAAGAAAACACCCCGCGGCATATCCACGCACGTGTAAGGGGAATCAGAAATCCCCACGTTCAACACCTAGCACGGCAGAAGAGAAAATGCAGCTGTGAGCAAATACTGGGAAAACCTGATTGATCAGAAGGAAGGAGGCAAAAAAGGGAGGGGTGGTGGTGGACGGAGGTCCCACTGGTATTTGTGAAACACTCGGTCGGCAGCACTTAAAATGAACGTCCTCGCTCCCACCCACCCACCCAAAGCCATGAAGTCCCCCAATCGCACAGCCTAGAATCGCCCTCTCCTCAGAGGGCAGCAAAGACGCCTGGCGTTTTCCGAGACAGGAAGCTCCGCAGTGCAATGAAAGCGCCCTGGCTCTAGGCTCGCGGGCTCAGAAAACAACGTGAGCCGAGGTGGCTTCGGCTCCGCTTGGCTTCGTTTCCTCAGCCCAGCTGCTTTCAGTCCGCTCGGGAGGAGGTGGTGGTGGTGGCGGCTTGCGTTGTTTTCTGAGCCCGCGAGCCTAGAGCCTAGAGCTCAGAAAACAACGCGAGCGCCACCACCACTTCCTTCCCCTCCTCTCGAGCGGACTGAAAGCAGCTGGGGCTGAGGAAAGGAAGCCAAGCGGAGCCGAAGCCACCTCGGTTCGCGTTGTTTTCTGAGCCTGCGAGCCTAGAGCTCAGAAAACAACGTGAGCCGCCGCCACCACCTCCTCCCCCTCCTCTCGAGCGGACTGAAAGCAGCTGGGGCTGAGGAAACGAAGCCAAGCGGAGCCGAAGCCACCTCGGCTCGCGTTGTTTTCTGAGCCCGCGAGCCTAGAGCCAGGGCCCTTTCATTGCACAGCAGAGCTTCTTGTCTTGGGAAACGCCGGGCGTCGTTGCTGCCCCCTGAGGGGAGGGCGATTCTGGGCTGCGCGATTGGGGGACTTTGTGGCTTTGGGTGGGTGGGTGGCTGGGTGGGAGCGAGGACGGACAGAATCCGCGAAGTGGGCTTGCCTGCCCTTGCTGGCTGCCTCTGCTTCCTTAGGGGCAGGGAAGGGGGCTCATCTGGACCAAGGGTGAGTCTCCCCCTCAGTTTCCCCTGAAGGATCTTCCGTCGCTTTTGCCTTCTTCCTACATCTTCCCTCTGTTAAAATCCTCCCCCCCCCACACACACACTTATTTTCGGGCGGATAGATTTTGTGTCTGAGCATTCTCACATGACGGTGGGTCTTTTTCCCCCCCTAAAAACAGTTAAAAAAAGAAAAAACAATATATCCTCATGCAAGAACTTACAAGTTGCAAAGGAAACATGGATGCAGGGAAGCGGCTGCCCAGCTCTGGAGCTCCACACCATTTTTTTTTTCAGAGGGGAATCTCACACGAGTATAAGCCGAGGGGTTTTTTTTCAGCACAAAAAATGTGCTGAAAAACTCGGCTTATACTCGAATATATACGGTAAATAAAATGTAGGCTAAAATGTAAAGGTGGAGTGATGAATAATAATATTAATTATAATAATATTTAATGACTTTAGAACAGATCTAAAGTTAAAAAAATAAATGAAACATACTAGTTTCAGATGTTTTAAATGCCAGACAATACTTATTGCAAAGCTTAAATAATGAAGACTTACCAAATGGACAGTAAACCTCAAAAAATTAGAACATAATGTAGGTACAAACTGATTAGTGTACTTTTCTTTCCCAAGTCCTAATTTGCCATGCCGTCCATCGCCAAAAGTATACATAAGACCATTCTCTAAATATAAAGAAACATGTTAATACCTCAGCCTGAAGACAAAACTGTTATTCTAGCAGCAATTTTATACTTTAGAATTTCAACATGTAAAATAAGCTTTTCATTAGGTGTATAGAATCAGGGCCACTGAAATTTTAAAGATCCAATAACAAGACTGCACATATGCACAAGCCTGTTATAAATTGTTCCTTCCATTTTTTTTAAAAAAGTATGATTTTATTAAATTTCAAAAACATAAATAAAATGTAAACATGCAAAAAAAAGAAAGTACAAAAAAAAGAATCAGACAAAAAGTAAGATAAAAGTGCAAAGAAAAGAAGGAAAAAAGAAAAAGAATGGCTTCCGATTTTCTTGGGTACAGATATAGATAAAAAATATATCCAGTTCTTGCTCTAAAATTAACAATGGTCTACATTACTTCTATAATCCCATATAACTCTAGTCATTAAATCCCAAAATCAAATTTTAATTTCTCTTAGTTTTTTGCAAAAAGTCCAAAGGTAGCTTGAAAGTAGAAACAAAAAGTCTGTTGTTTAATCAAAGTTGTCAGTTTTGCCATCTCCACCAATTCTATTTGTTTTAACATTCTTCCAATGTAAGTAAGTCCTTCCACCTTTGTGCATGTAGGAATATCACCACTGTTATCATATATAAAAATGAAGTTTAATGAGATTTTTCAATTTGTCATTAATCACTAAAGAAAAATCTCTGGTTCCAATTGTAAATTTATCCCAGAAGGCCCTTCAGGCTGCAGAGGTCCCTCTCCATCAAGCTGAAATGGGAGGAACCCCAAACAATGATGACCAGTTGCTGGATTCTTATGACAGCGAAGACAAGGGGGAAAATGACCAAATAGTGAGTGGACCGATTCCCCCTTTTGTCTTCCCAATATGACCTACAGCCCCAATAACAGGGAATAAGGGGACTTTCCAAGCCCTAATAAATTCAGGCTGTATTTCTATGGTAGGTTTAGAGTTGCCATTAAGATCTTCTGAATTAAGCTACATGTTTGGTACCAATATTTTCTAATTTTCTTGCATGTCCACCAAAGCCAAAAAAATACCTTCAAACTGATTACAGTTCCAACAAATATTTGAAATTTCATTATATATGTTTGAAAAAAATTCTGTTGTCAAATATCAGTGATGTATCATTTTTTTAAAATTCTTTTTAATAGTATAATTGGACATGAAATTCAACTCTTTCTTCCACATATTTCCCCATTGATATATTATATCCAATATTTTTTGCTTATCTTTCATACAGTCTTTACCTTGTTCATCCTCTGTTTTCATTTTCAATAAAAGTTAATACATTTTAGCAATAATATGATTATCATATGTACACCCTCCATTTCTGATTTGGAGAGAAATCACAATTTGCCATATTCACATTTAATGCCAATTTGTGATTTTCAATATAATGAAACATATGGGAAAATCTGAACATGAGAAAGCAGTTTTAACACTGATTAACTCAGACCACCATCCCAGTGCAAACCCATTGATTAACAATTACATGTGAACTTAGTCACCATTTTTTAAAATTGTTTAACTTAATAATTAATGAATTGCTTTGAAATCTATTTAGGACTATGAAGATCTATTGACCTTTAATATCATAAAATGCTTAGATACACTGAAAATGTAGCATCAGAGTTAACATTACAGGTACCTGTTATTAAAGCTGTGTGGTTTTCTCCACTTGCAATGTTACATATTTTTTGCTTTCCCAGATGATCTACCATCTTTGGTTCAGAAGTTTCAAAGATAAATGTGCCAAGTCCAAGTTGCCCATATTGGCCTAGGCCAAAGGTAAAGACCTCTCCTCCTGAAAAATGCACATGAAAGTAATATTCTAGTCACAACTGTCATTTTCTATTTGTATAGCAACTCCTTGTTTAGCAGCTATTGTTTTGTGAATATTTGCAAATATAATGGCAAGTTTTCAAAAAAAAATTCTGACTAATGAATACATTTACAACCAATTTATTTTCCAGATTCCTTTTATTCTGCCTCTTATTATTTTTAAAAATAACTCAAGGAGTTATACATAACATTTGTTAAGGGAGTTTTGTCCCATTTTACAAGCTTTCTTGCCACAGTTGTTAAGTGAATCATTGCAGGTTTTATGTTAGTAATACAGGTGTTACAGTAATACACCAGCTTTCCTGGTGACTTTGCTTGTCAGAATGTCACAAAAGCTGATCACATGAAGTGAAATCCAAGCTGGAGTGATGAGGGGAGAACTGCAGTTTTGCAGGTCCCAATGTCTCTTCTCTGCCACCGGCGGGGACCTTCTGCCACCTCCCACTGCTTTCTGCACTTTGGAGCACCCGGGCAAAGGCAGCTGCCACATCCAGGCCTGGCTGCATCCCTCAAGTGCCGATCCCAACCGCTGCCGCCTCGTGAGCCAGCGAGCCTAGCCAGAGGCCGCCAGTTGCTGCTGGACAGTCTCCTGGGAACCAAAAAGAGACAATCACACTGGCCCCGGAGAGGCTGGCGGGCAAGTTGTTCGGCAAGGACTCCATGTCCAACAAAGGGACCAGGTGGGGGGCTTGCTCCCCTCCCTCTTTTGTGCAGATTTACAAAGAAAAGACTGGAAACTTCAAGCCAGGCAGACCGCGCAGCCTCCACCTCGCCTACCCCATCAGCAGCTCTGGGCAGCAGTTCAGCTTTCCTGGCTGGCTGTGACCCCCAATCCCCACCTGTCCTTCCCTTCCTCTCAGACCTGGTGGCAGAGAGGAAGGCGAGCTAGGGCTGACCTGCTGCCGTTCAGCACCCTCCCCCAGTCTGCATCTCACCCCTGCCCGGACTCTCCACAGCTGTTGGATCTTGCCTGCCATGCCTGCCAGCAGGTGAGGCAGCAAGGAGCTGTGAGGCTGTGGTACCTGCATCGTCCTTCCACTGGCTGGCCGTCCACCATCCACCCACCCAGTCAGGGTGGAGTGTGGGAGTGCCTCACCTTGGGAGAAGGCAACTGGGTTCCGGATTCATAGTAAAGAACCGCAGAGGGTTTGGATATAAACAGTAGCCGAAGGGGTAAGCAGGAAGAGCTTTGGTGCTGGGCCACTTTGCATGGGCTGCTCGGAGACCTCTTTCCTCACAGCGGCAGGTGGGGCAGCAAAGTGCCTTGTAGGTTTTCTAGGCTTCAATCTTAGCCTTTCTCTTATGAGAGGCTTTCAGCAGAAGTGAGAAGGAAGATGCCTGAACTCTGTCAAGCAGAAGGGGGTATTGCTGCCAGGAGTCTGGTCACAACTCTTGCCATCCTTTTCCCTAATTAAGGCTGAGGGGGAAAAGCCCAAAGAGTGACGAAGTACCTGTTGTGCTTATTTCAAAGGCCAGGAGAGGAAAGGTTGGGCAAGGAGTGGCTGGGGGAGGGGAGGGGCAAGGGGAGGCGCCCCTTGATGTGATATCGAGTTGGTCATGCCCATCCAGTCACATGCCCCCCCCTCCCCCAGCCATGCCTACCTAGCCAGTCATTAGGGCAGAGAACCGATTTTTAAATTATTTGAATCCCACCACTGGTCATAAGTGACATTTCAGTGCCTTTGTAACTTTGAATTGTCACCAAATGGACTGTTGTAAGTCAAGGACTATCTATACTACAGTAGCAAAAGTCTTCAGGATGAAACTGATTAAGCTCTGGTCAGTTTAAGACATCAGCAGAGGTGGTCAGAGGGTGCTACTAATAATAATTAAGGTCACAAAATTCAGGCATTGTAACTTTGAGTTAGCACTTTTTAGGGAAGCACTGAGCTGTGGAGAACACTCAGAAAGAGATTATTTAAGCAATCTATACACCCTATCAGGCAGTGAAAAAAGGGGTACCTCTCACTCTCTCTCCCTCCCTCCATCACGATTTCACTTCTAGGAACTGGTTGTGATGGTTAAGTGAAGAAAGTATGTATGGCATCTAAAGCAGGGGTAGATAATTTTAGATCTTCACATGTTGTTGCTCTAATTCTCATCTGTTTTAATCAATACAACTCTTATGAGGTATGATGGAATTTGCAGTCCAACAACAACATCTGGAGAATCAAGTCTTACCCTTCCCATTTAAAAGTCTCTCTTTGATGTTCAGCTTAAAATGTGTTAAGAGATATGTAAGTACAGATAGTCCCTACCTTACAATCATTTGTTTAGTGACTGTTCAAAATTACAATGGCATTGAAAAAGTGACTTACAACCTGTCCTTGCACCCACAACTGTCACAGCATTCCCCCGTGGTCACTTGAAAAGTTGTGCGCTCTGTAACCAGCATATAGTTATGACAGTTGCAGTCCTGGGATCACATGATCACCATTTATTATACACGGTCAGAATCTCTCTGTGAGGGAGATGGGTGGTTTAAAAGGTGAAAAATAAATAACTTTGCAACCTTCCCATCTGACAAGCAAAGGGGAAGCTGGAGTCACTTAACAACCATATGATTCATTAAAAAACGGCAGTGATTCATTTAACTATGGCAAAAAAGATGTAAAATTGAGCACAAATCACTTAACAGCCACCTTACTTAGCAATGGAAATTCCAGTCCCAATTGTGATTATAAGTTGAAGACTACTTGTATCATAATTTGTTCAGTGGTGACTGACCACCAATTATATACTAGAAAGCAACAGAAAAAGTACTGAAGCATATATACCTGCCAGTGCTACTGTATGTCCTCCTCCACAGGCAACCTTATTAACTCTTCTTGGAATTCCAGAAACAAGCTGTGGGACTCTATTGTTTTTCAGTTGTTCAAGTGACAAACCTAGTTTCCCATTGTCAGACTCCCCAAAAGTATAAAGTTCTCCATCACCTGTAGGAAACCAAGTGGGAACATTAAGATTCATGACACAAGGAGAAAATATATTCATTTGTGGAATACTTTATGCAGACTTTCTTTGTTATACTTGTTTCTTCTGAACTATGCTAACTTAAATGTCTGTGGAGATTCTCAGTCATCCAGGTCATGATTGTCTCAAAGGTGCTTTTTTCAAGAGGCAACTGGTCTTTCTGGTTTTTCTTTGAAGACGGTTCACTTCTCATCCAAGAAGCTTTTTCAGCTATGCTAACTTTGACTTTTTAAAAAATAAACCATGTAATACTAAGCATCACAGACGCTTTCTGGAGAGATCAAGAAGAATTCCTTCATTAGGGAGATCAACAGACAGAAATTTACCAACAGAAAGAAGCCATGACACTATACGGAAATACCTGGAAACTGTGAATGTGATTCTTTTTTTTTTGAAAGTTTTATTTGGGTTTTCACAAAAACAAAATACAAATAAAATATCTTTTTTGAAAATAGCATGGTCCCAGGTTATCACTTCTTCATATACACACCAAACTCAATTTCATGCTCATTTTTATATTCTATTCCATATCTTATTACTGTTTTATATTTTCTACATAGTTTTTCTCCTCTTTTAATTTTCTCAGCTTTATTTTAATTATCTCATCTCAATCAAATCATTATATTTATACTTTTGTCTGTCCTGTTTCAATTTCATATTATCTTTTCTTATTAAACAAATTTTTCCCTGTAGTTACCAATTGGAGTATGACACCTTTATATCTTTTAATTTTATCCATTCAAACTTTTATTTAAGCTTCAATGTATACCTTTAAGATTATAGTATTCAATATAATACATAACTTCCAATCGAATTCTGCTTGGTACATTCTTAAAATACACACTATATTCTTAAAAAGAAATATATATATATATATATATATGTAAATAAAGCACACATTCCATTCCAATTCAATTCTATCATTAATATTCATTAAAATCTTAACATCTTTAACATTTCTTTTCAACTAAATATCATACTTCCTTGGGAACACTTATAAACTTTCCATAGTTAATTCTTTTTTTCCCATATTTCTCACTTATATTTTTATAAATCATTACTAATAATTAAAAATGTTCCCATTTAATTCTCTCAATCATTTTAATTCATTTATTTATTACCAAACATTCAACTAAATTACAGTAAATATTTTATCCATCATTTTAATCATATCTTCTAAAATTATTTCTGCTTATAATATAACAATGCTATCTTATGTACGTTTGCAGAATCCCTTTTGCTATTAAATTTTCACCCATTATCTTTAAACAAGCTTATGGTTACAATCCTTATATCTATTCCCTGTTTCTCCATTTCTTGTTCCTGTCTTTTACAACTTCTTTTCCTTGCCTTCTTCCCCGTCTTCTTCTCCCTTCCCTTTTTACCCCCTCGTCTCTCTACTTCTAACTCTCTCATCTGTAATCCCCTCTTCTGTTGCTTTCTAATATTATCTTTCAAATTCTTCTTCTTTTTCGTTGTTTTTTCTAGTCTGAAACCTTTCACTCTCTTTCCCCCCTTTTCTTTTTCTCCCCCACTTAAAATTATTTGATCATTAAAGATGGCTTCTTCTTTGTCCCGATCTTCTTGTTCTGCAAGCGTTTCTTGTTGTTTCTCATAGTTCCAGATCTCCATTTCTAAGAATTGAAATAAAAAGCCAAAAGAACCTCTCCCTTCTTGTGCATCTTCTTTCCATTTTTTAAGTTCCATTTTCAGTTCTTCTAAGAGTGATACCATTTTAAAGACTCTTAAACAACCACCCGGTTAATTTTAGTCATCCAGATGCAAAAACCAAAAATCACCAAGTAATCCAAATAATCCAAGGCTGTTTCTTTCTGCTTCTTTTTTCCACTTTCTCTTCCTGGAGTTCTATTATTTTGTTACCAAGTTTCAATTAGGATGTATCTTTGAGGAATCTTGTTGAAATTTCACTGTAAGTTTCTTTTAGTTACAGTTCCATTCCTTAGTTCCAGGCAGTCTCCTCCATTTTTCCAGATCCTGCCCTTTTATTCTTTTTTTTCCTCCTTTCCTGCTTTTAAAAACTTTTAAATATCCAGAAATCTTTATTATCCCTTTGACTTTTATTTTCAGCTTAGATGTCTATTAATGTCAAAGTGGATTTTTTTCAATTTCTTGCTTAAGTCTCTTAGCTGTCAGTATAAGGAAGGGAAGAAAAAAAAACCTAATCCTTTCCCTTCTCTCTCTCCTTCGCAGCTTCAAAATCTTCTTTGGGAACAATGTTATTAAATTTAAATTCCAGGGTACCTTATTTGTTGCTTTTGCTGTTTGACCCGGTCAACCAAAACTTTCTCTTCTTATCTTCCTCCTGCACATTCTTTTCCGGTCAAGTTCTTCTTTGAGGTGGCCATTTCTGACCACCGCTACAACCGCCTTCGGGAAAGGGAGTAATGGCCAGCTGGGGAGGAGAGATGTGTCTCTCCTCAACCCTGCAGGCAGTCTGCCCCTTCTTCACCACCTCTACGGGGTGGCTTAGCCCCGAAACCAGCCGGCTCGGGGAACTCCAGTGGCGAGCATGGATCGAAGCCTCGCAGAGACGAGGTTTCAGTCTGTTGTCAAAGAAGCTCAAACCGGAAGCCGGAAACTGTGAATGTGATTCTTCTAACAGCTACTGTCAAATTCTGAAGCAGAATATCATTGGGGGGTGGGGTGGGAATGTAGAATAATAGCTTTGGGTCTTTTAGATCCAATGATTTTTTTATTTCTTGGGAAAGGTCAAAATCAAATGTCATATTATCCTCTAGAGCTTGCATTAATAATCCACTATCTGTGAAACTAGAGAGGAGATTGAAAAAAAATCTAGGTAGCAGAGATGCAAAAAAGACTGCTTTTTGGTCTTGACTGTCACAAACTATTAGGACTTTGTAAATGATAGAAGATTATCACTTTTACTCCACCCTCTTAGCCCATTTAAGACTGCTCTAAAAGTGATTGATATATACCACTTGATCAGCACCATATAACATGGCAAATACAGAATTTTAAGCCACAGTATTGAACTTTGAACATACATAAGTAATTTTACACTTACATGTTATTAAGGCAGAATGATAATATCCACAAGAGATCCAGAAAACAGGTTTCCCAACATCCACTTGATGAGGAACACATGCATTAGCTTCATTACCCAAGCCTATTTGGCCTTCAGAGTTGTCTCCCCACATAAAAAGTTGTCCATCCTCTTAAAAATAAAAAAGATTGTTGTAAAAAAAACCCTCCAAATTATTTAAAGAAGCTAAGGAAATGAGGTTTAAAGCTATGGAGACCAGAGAAGAAAAAGAGAAAAGGTTAAGAAACAATAAAAGTTCCCAGTTTTTGTATTATCTCATAGTCGGTGAGTTACATTTGAAATATAATTACAAATTGTGAGTTTTCCCTCTCTGAAATTATTTCTCTCTTACATCAGTCAAAACTTAAATGAATTTTACAAAAAAAAGATACAATGTTTAGAAGCATTTATCTTATAACTAAGACACTGGGGTGGTCACTACATTAAGTACTTATAATCATGTGGATATCCTACCATATACTACGTAGTAGTATGAACATACTCATACTACTCTATGTGCATCTGGAAAAAGAGTTCATTCAGGTTGGAAAAAATTTTAAATGAGTTTGGGATTATTATTATTTGCATGTTAAAAACCAGGTCAAAACTTAAAGCAGAGATAACTCTGTTAGCATACACAAATTGTGCTAACATTGTTGCTTCACATGCATAATTCAGTGACATCTTCTATATTATGGCAGAGTACATATACAGCACTATATTGGGGATACAGTGTCACACAGAACCACAGAAGAAAAATATTTAGATGTGCTAATTGCAAATAACTGCAAAATAAGTAAATAGTGTGTCCAGGCAGCTGTGAAGGCAAACAAAATTCTGGGATGTATCACTAAAGGGATTCACCAGCAGGAAGAAGAAAGTTTGAATCCCACTATAAAGGGCTTAAGTCAAACCCCATTTAGATTTCTCTTGTCAGTTCTAGAGATTCACTTAAAAAAAGATTTTGATAAGTAAGTCCAGAGATGGGCAACAAAAATGATGTAAGATTTGAGGGACAAAATGTATCAGGAGAGACTGGAGGAACTGAATATGTACAGCCTGGAGCAGGGGTCTCCAACCCCTGGGTCACAGCTAAGGACCAGGCTATGGGCTGTTTGGAACCAGACCATGCAAGCAGAAGGTAAGTGCATGCTGCAGCTCCACTTACACAAGCTGCAAATGGAGCTGCATGTGTGAGTGCACTCACCCGGTGCTCATGTGGAACCATCTTCTTTCTCTCCCCCCCACCCCTGCCGATCTGCAAAGCTGGAAAGGTTGGGAACCACTGGCCTGGAGGACAGAAGGGAAAGTGGGGAGGGGATGATTAAAGCCTTTAAATATGTTAAGGGCTTGAATAAGTTCTAGAAGTCAATATTTTCAATAACATGGGGGCATAACTTCAAACTGACAGGAAGTTCAAAAGTAATATTATAAAGTGTTGTTTCCTAAAAAGAGTAGTGGAAGCTTGGAACCAATTTCCAGCAGAAGTAGTGGGTCAATCATCAGTAACTGAGTTTAAATATGCTTCCATCATCCAACAAAAAATTAAAACAAATTAACAACAAAGCAAAAACAAGGAAAAAAACTCAAAGTGCAGACACAATAGACCATTAGGTCTTTTTCTGCTGTCAGTTTTCTATGTTTCTATCTATTTATGGACATTACTTACAAAACTATAAGGATGCTTTAGACTCCACTACAATATGCCCTTGATAACATGCAATGGTCTCACTTCTGTTCAAGCTGGGAGGAAAATGAATTGTTTGCTTATCCAAATTACAATTTTTTTGGAACTTCTTTATTTGGTCATTGTTTATGTTTTAGTGATCAAATTCAAGTCATAGGCTTATCAATATCATCTAATAGTAGCCCTTTTAAGGACTTTATAAGTTTAAGGAAGCTTATAAAATGCTACGTTCTGCACTTACTGCCTGCATTTCACACCCTATTCTTTTTTGGGGGGGGGTGGGGTGGAGAGGGAAGTTCTTTGATAGACTAAATATTTTTGATGTTTGGTTTCCATAAAGACCTAATGGAAAGTACTTAAACTTTCAACTAACTTCTTCTTCAGCATAACTTTCATATAAGTCACTACAGGGCTCACCAGTTAATGCCGCTGATGTGTAGGATCCAGCTGCTAACTGTTTGATCTTGTGCTGACTGGTAAAATAATTAACTAGATGAAATGCACTTCTTTCTTCTGTGCCTCCTAATCCCAGTTGTCCTTCACTGTTACCCCCAGTGGCATACAGGTTTCCTTTCTCTGTGCAGAAAAAAGCACAACCAAAATAAGCACACTTCACTTGAAGCACCAGGAAAAAACAATTCAAATAAAGAACATATTACCCAGTCTCATGTTGTCTTTAAGACTAATCACAACTGTTTCATGGTTACCTACAGAAGTCTAAAGTTTAACTCTTTTTAAAGAATTACTGACTACATAATGGAACTTGATTATGCAAACTAGGATCACAGAATCAGAAGGGAACATTTAAGCCAGGGGTCCCCAACCACCGGGCCCCGGACCGGTACCAGTCCGTGGATCATTTTCTACCGGGCCGCCAGTTTGCTGGGCACCGCCATCTTGTTTCGACGAGAAAGTGCTTCCGGATGAGCTTTTCCGGTTGGAAAGCGGCGTTTGGGTCCTGAAGGAATCTTCGCGCCTTAGTTTCATCGAAGGCGGGGACGGCTTTGAACGAAGAGCCATCCCGATGGCGGAGGAGATTAAGAAAGCACAAAAAAGCACAAAAAAGGTATAAAGGAGGAGTTGAAGGTGGCGGGGAGAAGCGGGAGACGGCTGGCTGGCCGGTCGCTCGGCTCGCCTTGCCTTGTCAGGCGTGCTGATGCCGGTACCGGGCCGCAGATCATTTTGTGATGCCAGTACCGGGCCGTGGCACAAAAAAGGTTGGGGGCCACTGATTTAAGCCACAGGCTCAGCCCTCAGCTCAGTTCAAAACCCAAATAAAAATATTCCAGAAAAAGGCTGTCTAAAGGCTAAGAATTATAAAGTGACTGTCTAACCACTGATCCCATTTGAAATGGGAGCCTATTATTTCTCTGGATCATGCATCAGTTAAAAGACTTTCCTCATGTCTGGAACCTAGATTTTTAAAACAGAAGTGATTTCATTCATTGCATTTCCTTCATTCCCAATTGGGAGGTGGGGAAAAGGAATATGTTTGGAATTTTAAAAAGCTTAAAACATTAGGATTCAATAAATAATTGTTTCATGTATATACATGAAATAAAGTAAATATGACTATGAATATATGTTATCTAAAATCAGAAATGAGGTATATAGTAGTTAGGGTTAGCTATGATTAGCCTAAGAATTCAGGGTTAAGATTTTTAAAGATTATATGGTCCTCCCTTTGGCTCAGTTCACTATACTAACAACAAACTTAGGGAAATGAAAGAATTTCTTTCCTGTCCTCATCTATTATTCTTACCAGAGACTGCTTTTCATCTTTTTTTCCCTGGTGGATGTGGTAAAGCATGGCTTAGGCTTCACTTATTGCCTTATTTCATTTTAAGGGTCATAAAAAGTCTATACCCTAAAATACACTCTATTTTTTCGCATGACAATGAAGGTTTTTTTAAAAAATAGAGTTACCTAATTCATGAAGAGTAATGTTTAAAATTTTGATTTCATTTTAATTTCATTGCAATTCTATATCCTATATTCATAATATTACATGTTTCTAATTATAGGACACTTTGCTTACAAATATTATACCAATCATTGTATACAGCAGGGGTGTCAAACTGGATTTCTTTGAGGGCCGGATGAGCATTATAGTTCTCTTTTGTGGGCTGGGGTTTGTGGTGGGTAGAAGCAGGGCATCCTCAATGAACTGCTTGATGAACTCATGCAGGCAGACATAGGGCGTGCCCAGGAGGGCAGCCTCACTCAGGTGGGATCAGCTGGTTCTCCGAACTGCACACAAAATTAATAACAGCCGAAGTGTCTGAATCCCACCTCTGCATTGCTGTCTCAGCCAGGGAATGCTGGAGCCTTTGCCACCAAGCAGCATAACAGTATGTTTGCAGCGGATCCTCTATAATAGTATATCATTCCATGATGTTCTCAGCTACGGTGCCCTCATAACAATAAAGGGCACATTATTGACAGTTCTTTCATTACTATATGGTATTTTCTTGCAGAAAAATATTAGGGTACCTCCTAATATAAGGATGTCAAGAAAAGACAAGCATATAAAATTTATTTTAAACTGGTAATAGTAAAATATGCTGAGGAACATGGAAACAGAGCAGCAGAAAGATATTTTGGGCCACCTCCAACTGAAAAAATGATGAGAGTGGAGGAAACAGGTAGATCAGCTGTAAAAAGTAAAAGTAAGCACATTTTTTCATGGGCATGCTGCGAAGTGGCCACAGTTAAGAGATGGATATGAAAGAATGGATCACACGTCACCGTAATAATGGCTTCTCAGTTTCTACAAAAATGATAATATATGAAGCCAAATGCATTACTGTAGAGAAAGGCATTCAGGATTTTACTGGATCACCATCGCGGAACTACAGATTTATGAGATGTGGCCTTGCTATGCGCACCAAAATTAGAATTGCACAAAAAATGCCAAAAGAATATGAATCTAAGATTCTGTCTTTTCATAATTTGTAATTTAATCTAGGTAGAAAAATGATTTTGAAATTAGCCAGATTGGGAATATGGATGAAGTCCCGCTAACCTTTGATGTGCCTGTGATGACCCGGGGCATGGCACAAAAGCAACAAAGTCACAAAAATAGGTAATACCTCTAACTTGGCCCCCAATGTCCAGTTATCCTCGGCTGGAGATCAAACTCTTCCAAAACCAGTCTATAAAGGGAAGAAATGCAGTCCGAGCCCAAAGAACAGATAAATTAGAAATAAAAAAAAACAATATAAACGATGCTAGAGTAATTAACACGACAGGCCAGGATAACAAATTGCAGACTTTCAAAAGATAACAAAGCACACTGAGTTGGGAGGACGCCAAAACCCAGATAAGCCTTTACAAAAATAATGCACGCTTTGCTTCCAGGTGGTGCTGTGTGCAAACACCCTTCTTATATCCAGTTCTCCCAGCTGCAACTAATGAAAGGGATCAGGGCCTTTTTCTCTCCCATAAGCCACATTGCTCCCTTCTCTGTTCCTCCCTGCATGGCCTAGGATGAAGAGGGGGTTGCCCTGGATCTTCCTCTGAATGCCCAGCTTGACTGTGCCCTTCCCCCATTTCTTCTACAGCCACCGGAGCCACACTCCCACTCCCTGTCAGCTGCTCAATCTCCCCCTCAGAATCAGACTCCAACAAGGGCATGACAGTGCCATCTAATAAGACTGTTGACTGTTGATCTGAAAGGTGCCAAAACCATAACCGTGAAAATCTCAGGACATGAGAAAACATATTACATGGTGTGTTGTCCTACTGTGCAGATGGCACCAAATTGCCACTGATGTAAATTTTCAAAAGGAAAACCTTTCCAAAATAAGAGATTCCACAAGGAGTTGTTGTGCATGTTCATGAGAAAGGAAGGATGGACGAAATTGGAATGAGAGTATGGGTTGAAAAGGTGTGGTCCAACATCCTGGAGGACTTCTGAAAAAAACTGCTTTATTAGTGCTCAACCAGTTTAGAGCACATATTAGTAAAACTACAAAAAAGAGATTTAAATAAGTGAGGACTTATCTAGCTGTAATTCCTGGGGGTCTTACCAGCCAGTTGCAACCTCTTGGATGTTTCCATCAACAAACCATTTAAAGTCTTTATGGAGAAGAGTGGAACAAATGGATGGCTGTTGATAATCATAATCTGACACCTACTGGACAAATGAAACGGCCCACTATCACTCAAGTTTGTGAATAGGTTAAAACAGTGGTTCCCAAAGTGGGTGGTACTGCCCCCTGGGGGGCGGTGGGATGCCTTAGGGGGCACTAAGAGGCAAGGGGGCTGCCAGGGGTTGCTAGGAGGTGCCATGGGGGCACTGGAGGTGGGCCCCTCACAGGGCGCAATTCAGGGGTGAGATTCTACTGGTTCATTACCTTCCCAGTAGTTTGGAGAACTGGTAAAATGGGCCCGTCTGGCCCTGCTCCTCCATTCCCTGCACAACATCGCACACATGCACAACAATCACTGACAGCCATTCTTGTCGGGGGAAAAAGCCACCTGTAAAACATCTTATACAGAATGTATAAGAATAAATCTGAAAAGTTCTGGAAATGTCATCAAATACCTGGCTCATATTACCATATGTGGTGGACTTGTGAGCATGCTAGAAAATATTGGACTAAAATTCGCATATGGTTGGAAAAAATGACAAAGAAACATATAGATTTAAAACCAGAGATTTTTTTATTGGGAATCTTACCTGATACATACAATAAAAATCTGAAATATTTGATTGTAAATGTATTAACAGCGGCTAGGATTGTATTTGCTAAAAATTGGAAGAGTGAGAAAATACCATCACAGGAAGAAATTATTAAGAAAATATTAGAATGTGCTGAAATGAGTAGATTGACATTTGAAATTAGAGAACAAGAAGATAAACAATTTTATGAAGTTTGGGACCTTTTCTATCAATGGCTAGATAATAAAATATAATAATAGAATATTTAGAACCTTAGGAAACAATGAATACATATTTCTTTTTTTTTTTTTTATACTATTTTTATAAAATTTTATTAAGATAGACTTGGTATGACTTTATGATTTGCTATAAAATAAATTAAGTAAACTATAGTTATCTCGTTAAAGTATGAATTAATAAAATTATAATCAAATGATTGTTTAATAATGATATCAGGCTATATAATTGTTGATTGATAATATGAGCTATTATGTAATATAACTACAATGGAGACTGAAATGGATGCACAAAAAAAAAGTGGTAAACCAACCGACACACTGTCTGTAAACTCATGAAGGAAAGGATGATGTTTTTATGTTTTATGTGTTTTTGTTTGTTGTTAAAATCAATAAAACTGTTTTCAAAAAAAAAAAAAAACTATCGCTGACAGCCACAGTGGCACACTGGAGAAGCGGAGCAAGCAAAGCCGGAGGTCAGTAATTTTTGCTGCATAAAGCATCCAGACGTTGTGTGGTTTTTTTGGTGCAGCTGGAGTCCAGCCGTACTAGAAAAAACATGCGGCATCTGGAGTTTGTTTGCAGTGAAAATTACTGACCTCCAGCTTTGCTCTGCTTCTCCAATGTGCCACCACCGCTGTGTTCTAGGCACCAACCATGCATGCTCACCCCATTAACTGCTGCACCACTCCGCTCAGACTTGCTTGGGCAAGTCACTCTGGTGCAGTGGGCTCAATGGGGTGGACCTGTGGGGCCAATGCCTAGAATGAGGCTGCAACAGCACATTGGAGAAGCCGAGCAAAGCCAGAGGTTGGAAATTTTCTCTGCAAAAAAAACTCCAGATCCCGCATGGTTTTTTTTGGTGCGGCTGCAGTCCAGTTGCACTGAAAAAAAACACATGGCTGCTGCAGGCATTCATGACAAGGGCGACATGGGCTGGCGGGGAGCCCAGTGACAACAATGGCTCAGCCCTGGCTTGCGTTCTCTGGCAGCCAGCCACGGGAAGAAAGTAAAGTCATGGCTGTGGGACAACCAAAGAGGTGGTTGTTGGGGAGGAAATGAGGAGATTAAGGGCCAGGGCCTCTGAAAGGGGAAACGGGGTGATGCAGGATTAGCCCAGGCCTCTGTCAGATTAGGCCACACCTGCCTGGGCAGAAAATAGGTGCATAGGTTAAGGAAGGGATAGAGAAAGAGGGAAAGAGAGAGAGGGAAAGAGAGAGAGAAGAGAAAGAGAGAGACAGGGAAAGAGAGAGGGAAAGAGAGAAGGAACAGACAAGAAAGTAAAGAAAGAAAAAGGGAGAGAGAAAGGAAGAGAAAAGAAGAAAAGGGATAGACAAAGAAAGAGGGGCGATGGAAGGAAGGGACAGAAAGAAAGATAGAGAGAGAAGAAAAGAGAGAGAAAGAGAGAGAGAGAGAGAGAGAGAGAGAGAGAAAGAAAGAAAGAAAGAAAGAAAGAAAGAAAGAAAGAAAGAAAGAAAGAAAGAAAGAGGGAGGGAGGGAGGGAGGGAGAAGAAAGTGAATGGGATATGAGGGAGGGAGACAGAAAGAGAAAGAGAGAGACAAGAGAGAGAGAAAGAGAGAGGGAATGAGAGAGAAGGAAAGAAAAAGGCAGGGAGAAAGTGAATGGGATATGGAGGGAGGGAGAGAGAGAGAGAGAAAGAGACAGGGAAAGAGAGAGAGAGAAGGAAGAAACAAGAAAGAAAAGAAAGAGAAAAGGGAAAGAAAAATGGAGAAAAAAAGGGCAAAAAAGGATAGACAAAGAAAGAGGGGATGGAAAGAAGGGACAGAAAGAAAAAAGAAAGAAAGAAAGAAAGGGAGGGAGGGAGGGAGGGGAAAATGAATGAGATATCTAATCCGACCACCTGCTTCAGCAGGGTTAGAAGGGTGTGTGTGTGTGTGTGTGTGTGTGTGTGCGCGCGCATGGCTGTCAAAACTCCAAAAACAGGTCAAGAAGCTCTGGGGAGGTCAGTCATAAATTAGAACACTTACTAAGCAACTGGCCATTAAGTGAGGGCCACCTATACGTATTTGGTTTGCCAGTCACGTGGCCACCTAGCCATGCCCACCCAGTCACATGACCACCAAACCATGCCCATCCAGTCACGTGATCACCAAAACACGCCCACCCAGCAAGCCACATTCACTCAGTCACTTGACCACCAAGCCACGCCCACAAATTAGGCCAGCTCACAGAACCAGTTAAGAAATTTGAATCTCAACCCTGGGTGGGGGGCACTGAGGATGAGTTTGTAGCACCAAGGGATGGTGGACTGAAAAAGTTTGGGAACCACTGGGTTAAAACATCATGTACTCAGTGAAGGACAAAATTGTTGCACAGTCATTCAAAAAATGTGACATTAGCAATGCCTTAGATGGAACTGAAGATAGAATACTTTATTCTTTATTGGCCAAGTGTGATTGGACACACAAGGAATTTGTCTTGGTGCATATGCTCTCAGTGTACATAAAAGAAAAGATACATTCATCAAGAGTCCAGAATCATAAAGTATAACACTTAATAGTCAAAGGATGCAATAAGCAATCTAATCATACTAGGAAACAGTAAAAATTGTTAGGATACAAGCAACAAGGTTACAGTCATACAGTCATAAGTGGAGGAGATGGGTGAAAGGAAGGATAGTATGATATACTAAGATAGCGAAGAAAGTGATATCAGTGAGTGTAAGCAACTGAGCTTCCTAAATTCTGACACTAGCGATGATGAGTTCTTGGGGTTTCCAGAAAATTAGAAGAGTGCTTGAACCTTAAAGACTCTCCTCATTTGTTAATGACAGTGATGATGGTTCTTAATACCGCTGTTGACTTTACATAGCTGAAATATTACTCTGCTATATTTTATTAAATATATTACTACACCATTTGGTTCAGAATATTTTTTTTCTTATTTTCCTCCTCTAAACCTAGGTGCATCTTATGTTCCTGTGTGCCGGATAGTGTGAAAAATATGGTATATGCCCTTCTTCACTCTCCTTTCCTTTCCAATTGAAGATGACTATTTTAAAACATGCATTTCATATCCTTGTGGACATTATATTCATATTTTTGCATCATAAATACAAGTTGCAATTCTATAAAATGACACGTTGACTTTTATTTCCACCTATGTATCAGTACTTGGGGTATAAATTGAAGGTACAAATACTTCATTTAAGTTACAATGTATGAAAATATGTCAGAGATGTAACAGCTTATTAGTATTTAGAGCTAATTAGCATTAAAATTAAAAGTATACTTAATTATCCATAAATGTGTTCAAATATTAATCTATGAATGTTAATGATGGCCATGAAATTAATTGACCAGAAAATATCTTTCTCATGTGCAACTTGATTCTCTCAATCTCATAAAATAAATTTATATCAAATGCCAAACTGAACATGGTACATGTATATAATAATTCTATAATATTCAGAAATATTGATTTTACAAACTGCTTAAAACTTTCAAATTTCTTTAATTTGTCTTTATTAAAAGCATTGATAGGAATGCTTCTGCTAAAAATGAGTTCCATTTTTCAGAAAGATGAAAACCTACAATTTGGACATATAACTTTTTTAAAAAAAAAAAATCTCCTAAATCTCCTAAATCTCCAGCAAATTATTTATATTTGATTCACGTGTTGGTTACTGCAAGCAAAATCCTATTAAAAATTCATTCATTATCAAATCCTAAAAAAAATCTGGGCAAAATATACTTGGCAAATGATTCAGTGACTTTTATGGCCCATTATTTAATTACAGAAATTAAGGACTGCAATAAATTGGATTACTGGAAGAAAAGATGATTTGGAATCTGCATAGCATACATTTGCTGGCAATTTGTTCAAGAAGCAACTTTACACCCACACACAGTCCAAATCACCATTTCTCTTCCAAATATAGCTCATTGCATAGTTATTAGCAGCTATTGCTTGTATAAAGCCCACATTCAGGCCCAGTTTCCCATTGATGTAAGGCTGAGAAAGGCCTCAGTTTATCAAATTAAGGTCATAATCTGTTTTTTCTTCGGGTAACTAACATTCTGAAAAATCATAATTTTGTAGAACAAAACAATAGTCTTACAATATAATTATAAGAAAAAAGTGGCCAAATTCATATACAGTTCAGAAAACTCTCAACATGAAGGCTTTTATTATCTTAACAAGGATATTAGAATAGAGGTAAGACAAGCTTCTCTTGGATGGAAATTCCAGGTTTTTGATGCTGTTATCAAAGAATGCCTCTGCCTAAGTCCAATATATACTATATCAAGAAGTTGCTACCAGACAGATGGACCATCAGATTCAATATAAAACAGCTTTATAATCTCATGCAATGTATTTTGAAATTACATTATATTCGATGTTACTGTCCACCGAAGCAGAAAGCTGCTACAGGAAAACTTCTTTGGCATATAAACAAATAATTTACATACCTGTATAGATCAAAGTATGATTTCTCCCACAAGCAGCTAGTTTTACTTTTTCAGGTTTTAGAACTATGGATTAAGGACACAAAAGGTTATTATTATTTTTGTTTTAATAATTATAAAATGAATTGTTGTTGAAATCTGCTAAGTGTCCAAATTTATTGGAGATTAATTTTCCAATCATTATTTATCCCAGCATTTCATAGCACATCATGAGTAAACTGGATTTTCTACTGAAGTCCAAATCATAAAAATAATTTAGTAAAACTGCAATCCTCTAAACATTTACCTGCAAATTACTGAATAAAGCACAACCTATTTCTCCATAACTACACAGAATTCCTAAAAACAATAATAAATAGGGAGACTTGAAGTCTTAATGTCATATGATATCTAAAAGTATTTGTCATGTTGGAAAACTAGAAAGTTCACATCTATTCTAAAACCTGACACATAAGTTAAAGACAAACCTTTCACACAAGTTGGCTTGCTGACAGTATTCTTTGTTCCAAGGCCTAGTTGTCCCCAGTTGTTGCTTCCAAACATGTATAGTTTACCATTTTCTGAAGAATACAGATATTAAAGAAAATAAGTGATTGCCAATGCATTTGTGTTAAGATATACCCAATATTTTCCAATTTATTAGACACAACTGTAGAAAGAGATATAATAACCATCTAATGAAGACTAAGTCTGCAAAACGTTATATATATCACTATCAAAGGTTGTGCTTAAATAAACATTTTTTCTATTTCTATGCACTGTGTACATTTCATTATTTTTGGTCTTAGAATACAAATATTAATTTGCAAATATACATAGAAAAAGAAGTGTTCGTAGAATAAATGAGTAAATCATTCTGAAAATATGTAAATTCATATTTTAAAAAATGTATAGAGCGTAAAGACCAGCCTCTCTGCTCTTCAAAAAATAAGTATAGACTCTTGAAAACTTTGTATTTCAAAAGGAATGTTTTTACTGAAGGCAAATCAAAATTCAAAGCAGGATCTGAGATCCCTCAGGGCATGCAACTAGGATAAAGGGAATTAGAGACCCCTCCCAACAATCCGGTGTGGATTTCACTAATCCTCAGGTGAGAAGATGTTATTATACCAGTAACTCTGAGAAAGCAGATAAGGAAAGTTTTCCAGAACTTCTGGTGCTGCAATCCACCCCTCTTCTTCCCTTGCATCTCCCCAAGAGGTGAGAATTTTCCAAGCATCTGGGGTGCCAGGTAACGTTTATAAATTGTGTTAAAGGTTATACAAAAGATAATGTAAGAAATAAGATATTTAGGATACATAGAGAGGAAAAGAATTAAATGTATCAAATCCAAACCACCCTTTCTTCCATCAAAGAATAGCAGATACACAGATCTGACATACTGCCCTCCTAAAAAAAAAATGGAAAATCCACCTGGAAGACATAAAGCATGTATTACATTAAGAATTAGGATGGTTTGCGAGTGTATTTCAGGTGGAATTTCCATAAACATTGTTTTTTACAATGGGGTTTTTACATGTTTTTTGGCTACCCATTTGTTTTGGGAAGAGGGTAGATGTTTCCATGCTACTAAGTATTGTGTGGAGCCATGGTGAGTGGGTGAGTCAAGGATATCTTTAATTTCAAAATGTTGTTTCCCTTCCATCATAAAGGGGGTTGGAGATGTGGGAAAAGGTGGTCTGATCTTTGAAGAGATTTCTGCTTTAAGCTGCAGTGAAATACTGGATGAACCTGTCTAAGTGTCTTAGGGAGTAGGAGTTCTACAGTGACAGGGTTGATGATTCTGGAGATGGGAAATGGGCCAATGAATTTTGGTCCCAGTTTCTTAGAAGGTTGTAATGATTGTAGGAGCTTTGTAGATAAATATATGCAGTCCCCAACCTTGAACGGTTGGGTTCACTGTGTGGTCAGCTTGAGCTTTAAAAGCTGCTCTAGCCTCTTGTAGGGCTAGTCTGACCACTAGCTAAGTGGTTTGTAGATTGTTCATCCACTCCTTAAGGGAGGGGATGTCAGGTTCCTTGGTGGGTAGCTCTGGCATGGGGTTAAATTCGTGTCCTATGGCTACCTGGAATGAGGTGAAACCAATGCTACTGTGTACCAAGTTACTGTAAACTACCTCAGCAAAAGGCAAAAGGTCAGTCCAATTGTTCTAATATTCCACTGGCTCTCTATGTCACCCCATTTGTCTGGGGGTGATGTGAAGAGGAAACCCCTGGGTGGAGCCTAATAGGTTTAAAAAAAAAACACAAAAAAATTTGGAAGTGAATTGTACACCCGTCTGAGATAATCCATTGGGGAGCTCCATGGAGGCGATAAATTTGTACTAAAAACATTTTTGCTTATGCCTTGCTGTTGGGATCTCCTGTTTTGAAAAAAGGTCCATTACAACCCAAATGACTGTGTTTCCTGCACTTTCAGGCAGCTCCACTATAAAATCCATAGAAATCTCTCTTCAGGGTGCTGAAGGTTCTGCTACAGTCTGTAGAAGTCCTGAGGATTTTCCTTGTCATCTTTTTGCAGCTGCGCAGGTGGGGCAGCTAACAACCTAGCTCTCAATGTCTTTTTTAAGGGATGGCCACCAGAATTGTCTTTTGATGAGGTGCAGTGTTTTTACAAATCCAAAATTCCCAGCTATTTTGGAGTCGTGGCATCATTTCATGAGGTCCAGTTTCTGGCTGGCAGTGATGTAAAGTTTGTTCTCTACCCAGGCTAGACCATCTTTAAGTAAGCAAATATTTTTCTGAGCTTGAAACCAGTCATCCTTAAGTAGTGCATCCTTAAATTTTGAAGCCATTGTGTTGTCCGTAAGTGGTTCTTTTTTTCCTTGTGCTCAGGTGATTACTTTGGCAGCTAGTTGGATTGGTTGGAGTATGGGTTTAATAATTTCAGTCTTTTTGCTGTTGTACTGGGGTTTCCTGGACAGGGCATTGGCCAAGAACTTTTACCCTCCTGGGAGATATTTGAGAGTGAAATTATAGCATTTAAAATATTGCGCCCAACATACGTGTTTTGGGGAGAGTTTCCATGTTTTCAGGGCTTCTAAATTTTTATGATCAGTTGAGACTTCGAAGGGGATTTTGCCCCCATGTGGGGAGGGCCCATCACACTGCATATGCCTCTTTCTTCCATATGGCTCAGAGATGGTATTCAACCAGTTTGCAACTATTTGGGTGAACCAGTAGCGGTTATTTGGCGTGGGTCACCAAACTGGTGGTGATCCCTGGCTGGCCACGCCCCCAATCCAGTCGCCTGGTCGCTCACTTGCCCCGATCGCTCTCCTACCTTTCTGTTCCCCACATCCTCTTTCTCCCTGGGGGGAAAGAAAGGCATGGATGCTGCAAGTATTGCTTTCCCCGTGTGAGTTAAAGTGTCTGGAGTGAGAAGGAGTGCAGTCTGACAGAGGGGTGGGGGAATCCACTTCAGCCTTGGAGAAATTTAAAGAAGCTGCTTCAAAATGCATGTCTGTTAAGCTACAAAAGTGCTCTGTGTGTGTGTGTGTATGAGAGAGAGAGAGAGAGAGAGAGAGAGAGAGAGAGAGAGAGAGAAAGAGAGAGAAAAAGAAAAAAATAGGAAGAGAGAGAGAGAACTCTGTGCTATTATTTTTAATTGTTCCATTATTTATCATGTGTTAATATTTTACACTGTCCCTACACCGAGTGAATTTTCTGCCTTTCTTTTGTCCAGGGCTACCACATATTTTTCAGGATTTACATGCATTCAATGTCAATATTCCAGAGCATAAAATACACATGTGTTTAACAAGAATTGAAAGGGACTTTTGAGGTCTTCTAGTCCAACTCCCATTTCAGGCAAGAAAACTGAGGATGCCAAACTCTGAGTTGAGATCCTGGGAAAGGTGTCAGAATAACAGAATAACACTTAGAAAGGACCTTGGGGTGAACCCTATACCATTTCAGAGAAATGGCTGTCCAGTCTTTTCTTAAAAATTTCCAGTGATTGAGCACCCAGAACTTCTGGAGACAAGCAGTTCCACTGGTTAATTGTTCTCACTGTCAGGAAGCTTCTCCTTAGTTTTAGGTTGCTTCTCTCTGTTCAGTTTCCATCCATTGCTTCTTGTTTGCATTCTGCTTCTTTGGAAAATACATTGTCCCCCTTTCTTTGTGGCAGCCCCTTAAAAGCCTGTTGCCTATAACACTCTTGGGTAAAGCATGTGAGCCATTTCCTCTTTTCAGTGGTCCATGAAAGTACATCTATAGTATGCAGATAATAAAGTCAAAAAAGGTGAACAACATTTTTAAAGAACGATAGATAAGTTGAGGCTGGGTGACAAGGAATGGCTGGGAGGGGAGGGGTGGGGCCAGGTGAGGCACCCCTTGATGTGAGTGACATTGAGTTGGCCACACCCACCCAGTAACATGACCACTAAGCACACCCAGTCACATGACCACCAAGCCACACCACCCGGTCATATGAGCAACAAGCCACGCCCACAAAATAAGCCACGCCCACAGAACCAGTAGTAAAAATATTTGAATCCCACCACTGATATGGTCCATCTTTGCTCGATTTCTGTAAATTTCTTGGAAGTATAAGCACATGGTTGCAATTGTCCATGTTCATTCCTTTGGAGTAGGGCTGCTCCTACTGCTAAGTCACTGGCATCAGCTTGGATGACAAATGGTTGCTCTGGGTCTGTTTTAGGATTTGACTGAGAATAGTTTTTTAAGTTTTTCAAATACCACTTGGCATTCAACCGTCAATTAAGAGGTTGCCTTGGATTTGGTTCCCCCCCATTTTTGTTTCTAAGAAGCTCGTAATGGGGAGGGTGATATTCGCAAAAGCTGGAATGAACTGACAGTAAAAGTTTGCAAAACCCAGAAACTTTGTAGTTGTTTACAGGTTTGGGGCGGCCCCCAATCGATAACAGCATTTACTTTTTGTGGGTTCATCTCTATTCCCTCATGGGATATTCTGTATCCCAGGGAGTCAATTTTGTCTTGATGGAACTCTCATTTAGAGAGTTTTGAATTTAGTTTGGCAGCTTAATTTTATGTGCTCTTCTTTTGTTTCGGTGTAAATTAAAATGTCAACAAGATAAACTAAGACCCCTTTGTACAAATGTTCATGTAGCACCTCGTTAATTAGTTGCATAAATAGGGCAGGGGCTCCTTGCAATCCAAAAGGGAGTATTTTGATAGGTCAAGAGAATGATTTGGAAAAGGATTTCACTGGATTTACATGAGAAATTGGTTGATGTTTTAAAATTTAAAAGAGAAATACAAATGATAAATCAACCAAGTGACCTGGAGAATTTTTTCCTATTAGTTTACAAAAGAGGCTTCTTAAAGTCTTGAAGAACCCTATGGAATGGGACAACCAAGAAAAGAAATAAAATCCTATGATAGTATTTTAATGAACTACAGATTAAGACTGCTAGAAATAAAAGGAAGGAATAGTTAATTGGCTTATTTGATCAAAGTTAAAGCAAAAGATACTGTTATTTCTGACAATCCTTTCTGCTGGCTTCAGGACTGAAAAGATAATGCTTTATGGTGTTGTTTAAAAATAAAGGATAGGATATGCAATGGAAAATTGTAACGTCTTAGAGTGGGTGAACAGTCACTAAATGTGTTTGTACTTGTTTTGATGAAGATTGGATAAAGATGGGAAGACTCTTCTTTATCTGTTCTTTCTCTCTTTATTATATTCTCAGTTTCTTCTTTTTCCTTGCACTTTTTATTCTTTTTCTTCTCTATAAGTTTAAATGTATTAGATTTTACTATTATAATTAAAATTCTTAACAAAATGGTATCAAAAATGAAATGCAGCTGATATGATTTCTAAGTATTACTCTTGGGAATTATGTTTAAGTCCACTGTAGGAAAGAAAGTGCTTTTAGATCTCCTTTGGGCTTTAGTGGAAAATATTCTTATATTCTTCAAAGAATCTTACTAGATTCTTTACTGTGCATTATTAACATTTTACAATTATTTATGTTTTATAAACCTATTTATATAGAGATTTATCAGGTAGCATGTGATAATATAGAATAGATTGTACTTGAATTATGACAATTGAACCCAAAATTTCTGTTCCTAAGCAAGACAGTATTAAGTGAGTTTGGCCCCATTTTATGACCATTCTTGCCACAGTAGTTAAGTGAATCACTGCAATTGTTAGTAACAAGGTTGTTAAAGGAATCTGGCTTCCACATTGATTTTGCTTGTCATAAGGTCACAAAAGATGATCATGTAATCCAGGGATGTTGCAACTGTCATAAATATGAGCAAGTTGCCAAGCATCCAATTTCCGATTACATGACCATAGGATACTGCAATGGTTCTTTGAAAAATGGTCATGTCAGTTTTTTCAGTGGGGTTGTAACTTTCAATAGTCACTAAACGAATAGCTATAAATTGAGGACTATACTGAGTTAGCTTAAATTATACTATTTTATACTAAAATAGTTGATGCGAGTGATTATTAAGTTTAAAATTATTTAACAAAATGTTTAATAAAAATAAGAATGGACCTTGTTTTCTTGTTGTAAATACAAAATTCTTGTTATTCTTTTAAATTATATTCTTATGACATATAAACTGATATATGGACAAGAGTATTTTCTGGATCCTATTTACAATTACAAATGACTGTCCAGTCTCTTCTTAAAAACCTCCAGTAATGAAGCACCCACAACTTCTGAAGGCAAGCTGTTCCACTGGTTAATTGTCCTCATTATTAGGAAGTTTCTCATTAATTCCAGATTGCTTCTATCCTTGATTAGTTTCCATCCATTGTTTCTTGTCCTGCCCTCTGCTGCTTTAGAAAATAAATTGACCCCTCCTCTTTCTGGCTGCTTCTGAAATACTGGAATTTTGCTATCATGTCCCCGCTAGTCCTTCTTTTCTCTAGACTAGCCAAACCCAAATCCTGCAACTGTTTTTCATAGGTTTTAATCTCCAGACCTTTTAAATCACTTTAGTTGCTCGTCTCTGCACTTTTCCAAAGACTTAATATCTTTTTTCGTAATATGGTGACCAAAACTGGATGCAGTATTCTAAGTGTGGCCTTTCTAAGGCTTTATAAAGCAGCACTAATACTTCACATGATCTTGATTCTGTGCCTCTGTTTATACAACCAAGGATTGTTTTAGCTTTTTTGGCTAATACAATTTGGCTAGTCAAGGTTAACTTTAGAACTGGGCTTGATGATTAGGAAAGCCTATTTTATCTAGTTCATTTTACAATAAAAGTGTCCATTTCTGAAAATGTTAATTTTCATATATTACTATCAATACAATCTTCACTTAAAAAATCAGAACATTGAAACACATGGTTCTAAAATCTTGTTATACTAACCTGTAACAACCGATGTATGTTCATCTCCACATGATATGTAAAAAGGCTTATCATTTTTAAACCAAAACTTGCTGGGCACATTTTCTGCAAATTTGCTTTTCCCAAATGTGAATATAGCACCTGATTCTAAAAAGAAAACACATAAATTTTGGTCTGAAATTAATTTTATATAATTCTACTAACAACTAATTTTGCCACTTAACGTCAAAATAGTGGCAATGTATACCTTTCTTTTTCAAAGTCTTAATTTTGCCCATATAGATACAGACATTTATTCCATAATTAACTACTACTTACATCCCAATAACTATCAAATAGTATCACATAAAATACTGGCTGGTTGATATATGTTTCTCCTTTACATTCAAAATACAAGTAGGATGAAAATACAATATCATTAAAGTTGCAATAAGCCAAACAGCACTGAACCTAGTGGATTGCTTTTCCTTAAGGCCTTTTACAGAGATGCATTCTCTCTAACATCTTATACCTCTTCTATTGGCAGCACAAAAATCTACTGGTTCATTAATTAATAAGGGTGCAATAGGAAACATGACCAGAGGATGCTGTGCTCACACTATGAAGTACAGCAACTCCCCAAAATTTCCCGAGTACACCAAAATAATTATTCAAAAAAGAAGAAAAAGGCAACAGAACATCCTATTTTATTCACAACGTTTTTCTACATTATTTTCAACACATATATTACAAAGCACATACTGTGTGTATTCTGTAGTTCAATGTCAGCAGAGTTAAAGATTTCAACAGTCATGAAAGGCCTTATGATAGAACTTTAGCTCTCCCCAGGTTTTTAGAAAGAAGCAAATCAAATTGCCGTACAAGAATCCCAACTAGAAAACTGAAACCTCAAGCCTTCATCAGTTCAGTTAAATATGCCGCAAAGTCGGCAACCTATGAAAATTAAGGTTATTTGAGGCAGAATGCAGACTAAACTTTATGCTTTTACTCCGCCAGCTGAAAAAGGAGATACACAGAAGAACCCCATATTGTAAGAAGGCAGAAGCTATGACTAAAATACATCCCTCCTCCATACTTTGCAGCGGCGGGCTCACGGACTAAAACCTTCAAGGACGCCTTCCGAGGAAACGAGGTCCCATTACAATAGGGCTGAGCCTCAAGCAGCAAGCAGAGGAACAACGAGAGCGGAAAAGAGATTAGAAGCAACTGGGCACCCGGACAGCCTCCTTCGACAAAGCCCTGAGACGGCGCCAGAAGCGAAAGGGGGCTGCCGACACCAATCAGCTAAACTTCCCGAGGTGAGTACTTACCGGGTACCTGCTGCTCGGACTCCCCCATGACGGACAGGAGGTGGGAGGAGGCGGTGCCAGGCTGGTAGATGGACCCAACAAGCCGCCCCGAGCCCGGAAGTAAACAAATCTCCTGCCATTAGCAACGAAACCCAGCTCTGCCATAGAGTACTCGTAAGGCTGCATAGAGCGTAAGTGGTGGGCACCATAAAGCACCATCCTCCTCTTGGCCTCCTTGTCCACCACGTAGGAATAGCTAAGGCTCGAGGCCCAGTTTAAACGTATGAGGAGCCGGGCTTCCTAAGTTAATAAATAAACTCCTCCATAAACATGACTCGAGAAAGGGGAGGCGCCGTTGTGCACGTTCAAATACATGCCTGTAGAATGTAGATAATTATGGCTAGTAGTGCAGTTAGGTAAGTCTAGATTCTGAACAAGCAGAAGTGAGCATATTAGATCGAGATACACAGATTTACTTCAAGTTGTCAGGAAACCATTGTAAAATTACATGACAAACTACTACTAAAACTAAAATCTTATGATATCTCTGGACACCTACATAACTGGATAGAAGCATTCCTGTCAAACAGACAACAAATGGTCAAAATTGGGAGTGTCCTATTAAATTTTGTACCTGTTGTGGAAAGGGAACTTCAGAAAACAGTAGTGTAGACACTGAATTCATGGCTACCTTTAACGGGCTGGCTATTCCCCTAAAAAAAAAAAAAAAAACGGCCCTGAAGGGGAACCCATTGTCACCATTCTTATAGGAATGTAGAAAGGAAACTTCACGAGGACAGTGGTGTCACCCAAGCAGGAAAAGCCCAAAGGGAACATCAAGCCAGCCATAAAACAAACTTGCATAGGAAAAGAAATCAAATAAAAGGTATTAAAGAAGCCCCTTAAACAAAAGCCCAAATAATTAAGAAAACTAAGGAAACAAGAAAAGAAAACCCTTACAAACACAAGACATGCCAAATCAGCAAAACAGACAAAAGACACAAAATATATTGCAAAGGAGACAGACAGGAGATTGCCACAAAACAAATATAAGAAACCATTAAGCAAAAAAAAAAGACTAGGATGAAACTGATAATCCAATCAAACCACCCCGCAAAATTTGCCTTCTACATGCCGCGGAGTTTATCCTCCGGCGGAAATGAAGACAACCCCTGACAGGATTTAAAACATTAAGAAATATAAACACAAGCGCGCACACACAAAATGACAAAAAGGTATAAAAATCAGGGATTTACCATACAAAGGTAGCTAGCCCAGGAACGCAGACTTCTTGCTATCTCTCGCCTTCCTGAAAAATAAAAAGATCCAGCTTTCAAGCAGTTGTCTGTATCCTTGCACCGGAGCTCTCCCAGCAAGAAAATCGAATCCTCTGAAGAAAGGCATTTTGACAGCCTTACAACAATTGGCGACCATGAAGGTTTTCCAGCCAACCCTGCCACCGGACCGGGCCCGCGGATCCAAACCCAGCCGGCATGGACCTTCTTTGTCCAGGGACAACATCCACGGACCCAACCTGGAAGGCATAAGGGTAGTAAAGGGAGTCCTTGGGCTTTTCTGCTCAACAGCTGCTTGAAAGCAGGTGAGTACCGCTTCAAATTTATAATCTTACTAGGGAGGGGAGTGGAAGCGTGAGTGTACCAGGTGCGTGATTGTGGGTTTTCTCTGCGGAAACAGCGGGACCTCACCTTCTCCGTGATTGCCAGCCGTAACCCAGCCAGTTGCTAGCTCAAACACGAGCCGTGACCAGCTGGATTTGGGAACGCAAGGGGTGATCACGGAGTGTGAGTCCTTCTGAAGGACGTAAGAAAAATCGAGTGGGCTGAGAAAGGAACTGGTGTTGGGAAATAAATAGAAAGCAGAAAAAATAGTCTGGTGCATCCCACAAGCAAAGCCCTGTGCATTTAGAAAGGGCCCGTACCGGCTGCTGGCAAAAAAAATTGGAAATAGTTTGCCTAAAAAAAGCAGCAAAGGTCCTTCCAGATCCCCACCTTTAAGGGAGATCTGAAAACTGACGGCTGAGTGTAGGAAGGGGCCCGTACCAGTGCTGCTAGGGGGCAGATGGTCTTCCAAGATCCCCATTTTTAGGGGGGAGTCTTAAAACTGACGGCAGAGTTTCCCTAAGAGAAAGGGGCCCATACTCCGTGTGTAGACCTTTTTTGTCTGAAAACTGACGGCGGTAGCCCAGCTAAACCAAAGTAATCCCCACATCAGGTAGGGAATATGGGAAGTTGTAGCTCGAGGGCAATGGAAGAGACCCCCTTGGATAAATTACTTGAGGCTTGGGACGAGAAGCAAGTGCCTGTCCTAACTGGAATGAATAAAAAAGAAGCAAAAAGGATTTGCAAAAAGTGGGCTTTATTGCGAGATGACATGGGTAGACAAATTTGGCCTGATAGCGGTACTTTAGATTATAAAACCCTGAAAGCACTTAGAACACGCATTAAGCCCAGCCAAATACCCTATTGGTACTGCTGGGCTGAAATGGCTAGGACCAAAGACCTAACCGAGGGGGAAAAAAATAATAAGGAAAAGCCTGAAACCCATTTCAGGGAAGGGAATACTGAGGCACAGATTATGGCTCCCCTTTTAAGCAAGCCAGTGCCAGGCAGAAATAGGGGACAACTAGAATATGTTTTTAGCCACACTCCCTTCTCTGCCTCTGACTTAGTCATCTGGAAAAAGAATACCCCAGCTTTCAGAGCTGATCCTCAAACAGTTATTAAAACCCTGAAATCTATCATAGACAGCCATAATCAATCCTGGGGTGACATGACTCAGCTGTTACAAGTCTTTCTAACGAAAGATGAACTATTAAAAACTGTTTGAAAAAACAGACCAAATAGCCAAACTACCAACTGTCCCTGGACAGGCAGCCCCAGCCCGCATCGCATGGCCAGTACATCCCCCTTACTGGGACTATAATGATACCAATCATTGGGATGAATACACTAGAACAAAAGATAACTTACTAGAAGCTCTAGAGGAAATAGGAAAAAAAAAACCTTTAAACTGGTCCGAATTTCAAAAAACAACACAAAGGGAAAAGGAAAACCCTGATGCCTTTTGGGTCCGCCTGTCAGAAGCAGCTACTGCATATGCCTACCTAGACCTTAGCTGCCTGAAGGACCAAAGGATTTTAGCTTCAGCCTTCGTGGACCAGTCTACTATGGATATCAAAGAACATTTCCACCACTTCGTCTCTAACTGGCCAACCATAGACATAGCAGAGTTGCTCAGGATCGCTAACTTTGTCTATGATCAAAGAGACAAGCTGAAAGAGGAAGAGAAAGATAGAAAGAGACAAATAGAAAGACAGGAAGACTTTAAAAATGTTTGCTGTAATGAAACATGATGCCAGACAAACGCCAGGTAAAGCCCCCTGTAATTTAAAGAAATGCTGACATTGCGATAAAGCAGGATGGTCGCAAGGCAAATGTCAGCATTATTATAGGTGCGGACAGGAAGGTCATTTCAGCAGGCAATGTAGGCAACACCCCTCCAGCAACCAGTATCACCCACCACCTAGGAACATGAGGCCAGCCAATAATCCAGTCCATTACACTGAGCAACAAAGTTTCAGTCACCAGGCACTACCCAGCGCTCCCTTTCCTCCAATAAATAATAACAATAGACATCAATGGGAGCAAAGAAGAGAACATGATTTACCCCTTTCCTGACTAGAACATGACAATGAAAGCACTGAATTCATGGTTACCTTTAACGGGCTGGCTATCCCCCTAGAAAACAGCCCAGAGGGGGAACCCATTGTCACCATTCTTATAGGAGGAAAGAAATACAATTGCTTAGTTGATACTGAAGCCACCTCCTCATTAATTACTGAACCACCGTATAAAGCTTCAGTGGCTGAAGGGGCTTGGGATAGCATAATGGGAGTTGGGGGTGGGGGGAAATAATCCCTGTAAAATTTACCCACAACGTACCAGTAGAACTAGGATCTTTCACAGTAGACCATGCATTTACTATTTGCCCCCAGTCCCCACTGTCTCTACTAGAAAGGGATCTCCTATGTAAAATGGGAGCTACCATAACATGTGGCAAACGAGCTGCAATTGGAAATCCCAGGAAAAGGCACACACAAGACAATCATGCTGATAACCAGCAACACAGGGCTTCATGAAGATTTAAAAAGCCTGCCACCCTCCTTATGGGGCTGGGATGCATCAGAAGTGGGACTACTTAAAGGAGCCATGGAGAGAGCAAACAAAGAGGTGAAGACCTTACTGGGCAAACTCTGTCAGGAGACACACCTCTCCTGGCCACAAGTGCTCCCAATTGCCCTCTTTTATATCAGAACCAGACCAAGACAAGATATAGGTATTTCCCCCTTTGAGATCCTTTTTGGTCACCCCCCGCCATACCCTACAAGGCCTAGATCCTCATTCCCTTTGCTTAGATAGGGAGGATAGGGTTCTCTCTTCTTATCTTACAACCCTGCAAAAGAGACTACAGACCCTCTGGACCCAGAGTGCGCTGACACAGACCTAACCCCTGGAAGAAGCCCTGCATCCATATGAGCCAGGAGATTGGGTGTGGATCAAGTTCTTCACCAGAACCTCCCCTCTACAACCCAGGTGGAAAGGACCCTACCAAGTCTTACTGACTACACACACCACGATAAAGGTTGCAGAATGAGACTCTTGGATACATTGGACACATGCAAAGCCAGCAGTCATAGACCATAGCCAAACTCCACCACAATCAATCCCACCCATCAAACTCAAGAAAGATCGGGACACAGATCAATGGATGCTTGCAGCATTTTTCAACACCGTTGAACCACACCACTGTGAGGAACCAAGTGCAAACGTTGCATTACACAAAACTGGACTCCCTGAAGAATAGGGCAGCAATAGACTTCCTCCTCTTAAAGCATAATTATGTCTGCGAAACATTCCACAGGATGTGTTGCTTCAACCTAGACAAAACCTCAGGACTCATAGAGAGGGACATCCACCACCTGAAAAAGCTAGCTCAAAGTATTGATCATGAGCAATCATTCCTAGATGGCTCGTCTTTTCATGGCTCGTCTCGTGGATACCAGATTTCCATTGGCTCAAAATCCTT